TGCTTTTAGGTTGCTTATTAAATACTGAGAGCCTCCAATGTGCGAGGCACTGTGCATATAATAATAAATGGGGCAGACATGGACTCTTCCCTCATGAAGTTGATACTGGGGTGAAGGGGAGACATTAAACAACTTAATGCATATTTACTTAGAATGACAATAAGTGCCAGGAAGGAGAATCCTAGGGTACTGAGACAGCATACAGTTGTGGGGATCTGAAATAATCTGGGGTCAGGGAAACTTGAAGCAGCGATGTTTGAGCTACTGAGAGTGAACCTGGGAAAGGGTGGGGCAAAGGTGCTCCAGCGAGAGGGAACAAGGGCCCAAAGGTGGTGTGGCCACACAGCTTATCTGACAAATGGAAAGAACACCGGGCTGCTGAGAGAGGCAGAGCCTGACTGCGCAGGGCCCGGAGGGCTCTCCGATCTTTAGGGACATGGCGAGCAGTCCACGGTTTAGGTGGGCGGCATCAGCCATCGGGTCACTGGCTGCCCCATGGAGAAGGAACTGGAGCTCCCCAGAACCTCTTTGCTCAGTCACAACTCAGTATTATTTCTTGGCCTGGATGCCCTTTCTGGAAGGATACGAGTTTACATGTGCCTGAGAAGAAATAAGAAATTCTTGGGTACTTTTGGAAATAACCAGACGGGATTTGGAGAGTTGGGGGGAAGGGGTGAGGTCCTATAGTTCAGAAAGTGGAACTAAAAATATGGACACGAAGTAACAACAGCAAGCTCTGATACAGCGCTTACCAAAAGAATTTGGGGTTCACTCCTTCTGGGGCTCCCTCCCTTTCATTTCTCTCATAACCTTCTAGCTTCTCTGCAAGCACTGACCTCTCTCTTTTGACAGCTCAGGTCAGGTGAATTGAACAGTACCCAGACGGTCTTAATTTCGGCTACTTATTTCTCAGCTCTGGAATTTTCATTTATTCTGTTTTATAGATAGGAGTATTCTGATGAAATTCTCCATCTTTCTTCTGTTTTCTTGATCATATGAATCATAATTGTTTAGAAATACCTATCTTATAACTTCAGTGTCCATATTTTCTGTGAGTTTGCTTCTGTTGTCTATTTTTCACCTGTATTTCTGGTCATTTGTTCATTTCCTGATATGCCTTATAATTTCTCGTTGAATACCAAAACTTTTGCATGAAGAATGGTAGCAGTTCTCAAGAAATGATTTCATAGTCTTCAAGAAGACGAATGGAATACGAGGCGATCACTTCGCTCTGGTCGAAGCTGGGTTTCAGCTCTGCGAGGACCGTTCCATTTCTGGTTTGTCCTTACCCCTAGAGTATAGCTCTGATGCTTAGGATGAAGCCTGTCAGCGGCCCCAGTTGAAAGCATGACATATTCACCAGAGCCTCTACACTGGGCATGTCCTGAACTCCACTCCAACCTCTGTATCCTAGCATGATAAGATCACCAGGACCTCTGCTTAGCTTGCTGGCCTCTTAGAAGCTGCTTCCTGTCTAGTTTCTTGGTTCTCATCCAGAACATGCGCACCTTAGCAGTAGGCAAATGTTTCAGTGAAAAATTACACAAAGACTTTTGGACTTTTTTTCTCTGTGATTTCCTCCCCTCCGGAATACTGGCCCCTTAAATCCCTGCCACCTTGGGAGCCCCAGACTCTAACCCTATCTCCCAAGCTTAGTGAGACAGTGAAAAGCCCAGGCCTCTGATTTTCCCTCAGTGTCTATCATCTTCCTCTGCTATCATGAAAATGATCCAAAGATGGAAAACTGAGGTGAATATGGCTTCCATTTCATATGCAAAATCATTAGCCATTGGTGATTAAGTCAACCTCCAGCCCCTCTCCTCGCGCCCCAGAGGTCAGGGGTGAAGCTGAAAGTTCCAAACCTCTAACCACCTGGTTGGTTACTCTGGCAACTGGCCCCCATCCTCCAAGAGCTACCCCATTAGCACAAACTCAGGTATGGTTGAAAGGGGCTTATGATGAATAGCAAAAAGGCACTCCTCACCCCGGTCAGGCAGAAAATTGCAAGGGTTTTCGGAGCTCTGCTGGGAACCCAGGAGGAAGACCAAATATAAATTTCTTATTATATCGCGATATCACAGTCCTCTCCCTAGGATCTTGACCCATCCTGCGTTTTCTACCTTGGTTGTTTTACAATGACTTCAAACCAGATTTTAATAGTTTTCGAGCTTGAACCAGTATTTTTGGTGGAGGGTTAGACCAGTACTATCTACTTCATTTTAAGTAGAAGCAAAAGTCCGCCTTGCTAACTGATTTTAGAGGAACTCTAGCTAATTTTTATAATTAAGTATACTTGGTATACAGGCAGTGGCCAAAAACTATTTTCAATTATCTTTTTATGGTGTTTGGAAAGAAATGAACCAAAAGTAACAGCTTCTCAGGGGACGGCCATGCATAGAAGCCATCAAAGCCATTATAACCAGTACTAGTTGGTTTCCACATTGGTGGTCTCAGCAGAAAAGTTAATTTGGTGACAAAACTAAGAATAAGTATTATTTTTAGGTTATTCAATTCTAAAAATTCTGGAAAGGGCGGTTAAGGGGAATCTTTTCTTATTCATTGACCTTACTACCAGCAAGGTAAATTTCTGTAACTTCAACATGTTGGCTTCTACTATTTGTATTTTTTTTATCGCTGTCTATCTGTCCATTTAGGTCTGTAAATACTTGCTTTACACACCTCGTTACTCCTATGCTCGGTGCATAAATAATAATAAACGCTACATCCTATCTTGGATTGGATACTTTTATATGGCATTTTTGACCACATAAGTTTGAGGCTGTTTAAAAGATTTATATTAAAAACTTTATATTCATAAGAGTTAGTAAGCATTATTATAATAAGAACCAATAAAACTACTTAGTCTTTGAAAAATGAGCAAACAAATTATTCTTTTACTAATTACCTTCACAGAGGAAAGTATAATTGTAAAATGTAGGATTTAATAAACGACAGCCAACAACCTGCAATCTCGACTTGCTTTATCCTTTATCATCCAGTCTAAACAACACTGCAACTCTCTCAATGTTTTACAAGACGGAAAAAGGAAGAGATTCTCCACCCTTTTTTTGCAAAGAATATTCAGCCCTTTTAAAAAGGGGCACACACACATATTTTGTTTCTATATATGTACCAATGCACACAATAACCATTTCTTTTTCATATAGTCTCTTAATAAGTAAATGTCTAACAGGAAACTCTTACTTAATGCTAGTTTTTTCTAATTTGTTCTCTATCAAAATTTCTCAGAACTTGTGCTTTAATCGAGAGCTTGTAACCCATAATGACATACTACCTATTGGCCCTTCTAATCGAAGGGTCCCTTACCCAACCGAGAAGGACTTCTGCGGCATGTACATCTTAATACCACTGGATAAAGAGTGAAAGGAGGGAAGAAAGCAGAGAAAAGTAAAAGAATGCTTCGAAGGGGTTTTTGTTTGTTTGTTTGTTTGTTTGTTTGTGGTGGTGTGGGGTTTTTTAGACTCACCCAATGTCGTTAAGGTTTTGAGGTTTTCATCATCCATCTGAACAGTGCTGGGTTGTGTCGATTCCTGAGAGTCCTTATTGATTACAATCCTCTCCACTGAGTCAAATGTTTCGAATGAGGGAGAGACATAGAGCGTCTCTACGGAGGCTTGGTTATGGAAAGTAGAATCTGACTTTGACATCCTTAAATTAGGACTGATATGCTCCTTTCTACTCGAGGACCAAAATGCTGGTGAAGTTGTCAGTGTTTCGAAACTTTTTGCAGCTGACTGCTTTTCTAGAGACATTTGCAAAGGGCCTTCTGTTACAGTATTTGTACTGGTACTGTCTGATTTCTTGTCTAAACTCACATTTGCCTGCGGAGATGGGTTTTTTTCTGAGGGAGTAGGCATAGCATCTGTAAAATAAGAAATACGAACGATCTTAAAAAAAAATGGAATCGAAAATACTCTATTTCAAATCTGTTGCAACTTTAATCAATCATTTTTTTTTTATGCCATAACAAGATTCTTTCCTATTTAATCGTTTCTTACTATGTTTCCATTCTGCCTATTTGAAGTATTCCCACACTATAATTGATGTATTAGTCACTGGTGGCTGCCTTCTCGCTCTCTCTCCTCACTGAAGCACAAGGCAAGGAAAGCTTCAAATAACTGTTCTTTAAATATTATTTCCTTCATATATTTATCTGTCTTTGAAACCACTATATTTTTAGTACCTTTAAACTTTCAACTTTTACAAGATAAACTGGAGAAAATATGTCACATCATACTGGCTCTGTCTTTACAGGGTCCCCACCTACAAAAATGTCTTTTTCTCCTGAAATAAATGTCTTCTCGCTCCAGTGTCTCTACAGAGCACATAAAAAAAAAATCACTACTTCAGGTAGCAGATTAATTTTTAAAGATCCTTTGTCTACATGGGGAAAAAGAAGCAATCTTTCAGAGCCACTGTGATGATTACTAAAATGTAAGTTCCATCAGGTTGGAGATCTTTGTCCATTTTATTCATTAATGTCACCGAAATATCTAGAATATAACAAAGTACCTAGAATATCATAGACAGATAGTATTTATTGCAAATAGAAGGAATTGGAGGAGTTTTAAGGAATTGCAATTTAAGATGGGTCTGATATCGGAATATCTCTTGCATTGCTAAATTATGAGCCTGGTCCAAATTTCTAGATGCAAATTGTTATCAACCCTCTCAGTGCTAGGGCTTGCTCTTTAGTTTCATCTGAAGTTAGATGTGGAAAGAAAGAAAATATTTCTAAGAGGGAGAGTTCGTGAAATTAGAAGCATAACTAGGCGAGAGAGACAAAAGGAAGATGCTACCGTTGGAAGCACTGAAAAGACAAGAGACTCCAGGAATTGTGTAATTCGTCATCAAATGTTTATGTGTCACAACGTAAGACATAACATACCTCATAATGCACATTTATTTTTATTTTTTTAAGCCTTTAGTGTTTTAAATTTATTTTTAATTGTAGTCGACATACAATATTCTATTTGTTCCAGGTGCATGACATAAGTGATTCAACATTTATGTACCTATAATGCACATTTTTATGCTATCATCCTCACTTTCAGGCTTTGAGTTATTACCGAAAAGCAAATTTTCTTTGAGAAAAAAACCTTCCTTTCCATTTCCATTCAGAGTTGAAGGCATGCCTGGGCAAAAAGCGGTGTTACTATAACATACTTAGACAGTTCAAGAAACCTACATCAATACCGCTACCAGGAATTCCATTTCCCCACAACCCTTTCATCTCCAGACTTCCTCATCTTTTAAAACTCAACTCAAGTATCACTTTCTCTATAAAGCCTTCTCTGATCCTTTTCTTTCCTTGCCCTGCCCTATTATTGTCTGTCTTACCATATCTTCTTTGGGGCCCTGTGAGTGATCATAACACTGAATCTCATTTATTACAAGTCTTGCCCCCAACCTGACACAGGCTCCTTGAGGAGACATTATTAGGAGTCGTTTTGTGTTCTAGCACTTAACAGTGCCACTCCCATTGGAAGTGTTCAATACACGTTTGCTGAGTGAAAGGACAAACTGAAGCATGAGGATAAAGAAGAAGCAATGCCTTTGTTGTTCTAAACTGGACATAGTTTTTATTCAATGATGAAAGGAAACAGAAAATTGGTAGCTGAAAATAACTTCTACAATACTCCTCGCTTGTATATGATTAAGTTATATCTAGTTGGTAAAAGGTTCTGTTAAAAATACTAATAGTGGAATACTAGATTTACAGTATTCCAAAACACACGTGTCCATCATCATTTTTACATGAAAGCATTCCTTAAAAGCAAATTTAGTCAAATATTTTTTCATCGGCTTTCATTTCACATGTGAGAAAAATGGGGGAAAAGTCTTTTTCCATAGCACTAAAATCATCTTCAAATTTAACAACGTGTAAACCAAGATAATTCAGAATGATAATGATTTTATGATGAAATAGTCACAATAATACTCAATCTAAATCTCAGAATTGGGATGAATAAAGTCATCGATATAGCCATTATTTTAATGTTTAGAACAAAAAAGAATAATATCTTAAAATTCAATGAAAGAACCTGATTGAAGTCATTCTGTTTCTATCAACCCTCTTCCCCAATAGTCCAGGAGGAGCAGAATGCAATCTTTTCGTTGCTTAGACTTTTAAAACCTGTAACCTTTGCAATCAATAGAATACTACGATCTAAGAGTAAAAAGCAGGAAGACAAATGAAAAAAGAATGATTTTAAATGACTAGTAGACTATCCAAAAGAGAAAATGTTTGCTTAAACAGAATGCTAATGCGGTCTGAAGATTCTAGGAAGCAAGTCATCCTGGGCTTCTGCGCCGTCGGCTCTGCTCCATCCCTGCCCTTTCTGTGCAATAGGTCAAACCAATCCACTTCAATTTAATCTCTGCTGTAGTTATTTATAGTTCATATTCAAAACTCCTTCAAAAACTCCCTCTTGTTTCAGGGACAAAGTTTAAACTTTTTGAGTTTTAAAGGTCCTCCATTACTTATTTTCGATCACTACTCAACAGGAAACTAAGCCTCAGTCAGGCCATTCTCTTCATCACACACATACCCTATGTTCATCCGGGTCCCTTTATCTTCATTCTCCACGTTAATTCATGCTTATCTTTATTACCACTGATTTCTCACCCTGCACTCTGACACTGGAATCCCCTCTCCCCCTCTCTATCTATTTAAATCCTATCAATTCTTCAAGGTCTATCTCAAATAATTATTACTTCCAGTAGCTATTTGCAACCATGTTGATCACTCTATCCTAATCCTTCCCTTCTCTAAAATATTTATTTCTATAAATTCATTTTTCTACCTAATCATATGTGGTACAGAGCTTATCACACATCATTAAGTTCCTGCATCCTGACCATGCTTTTGCATATTGGAGGTATGCAAATAATGGTTAAATTTAATAATTCCTTAATTTACAAATATCTAATATCAATTTTTATATGTTGATTTTCTATATAATGATATATATGATATGCGAAGCCTAAAAATAAGAATGATTAAGCAAGAGGCACTTATTAAGCACCTACTGTTTGCATTGGACTGTATTAGACTCTGGAGACATACATAAGTGGCAATCATAGTTTCAGTAAACTTAGGATCAAGTGTGGATTTTATACAGATAGGTAGAAAGAAAGATTATAGATGATAGATAGATAATTGCATTTTTATACACACACAAAAAAGTATGTATATGAAAAACACATAAAAATAACCAATAATACAAACTACCAGTTCAATTTCAATATGTCTAGGGGACTATAGTTTCTCAATATGAGAGAACATAATGAATATATTTGTATAAGACGGTGAATTGAACATGTTTTGGTCTGAATTCTCCCAAAAGCAGACTTTAAGAAAAAGATTTGGATCACTGACTTTGACCAGTGATCCCAAGCATACAAGCGAGGGCGTGGGAAAGGTAACGTAAAAGAGGGACAAAAGCCAATAGACTGTATGAATGACCAGGTCACCGATGTGAGCACATGAGGTTCAATCTTGCTGGGTGCTTCCGAACTGTCCTTTCAGGGATGGGAAGGTGGAATGTTTATACAATGGCTCTTGCCTTCACTGGCTGAGGGTCGCCCCTATGAGTGCTAAATCTTTGGCATTCCTAGGCTGCCCTGCACTTAGGCGAACGAATGTTGGGGCTTCGGAGAAAACTTTCGGTTGGAGAAGCAGAGAGACACAGGTGCTCTCGGTGCATATGAGAACTGGTCGCCAGGTCTGTAGTTGTACTCAGAGGTAGGCCAAGAGAACATGGGATGAGGCAGTAATAGTATTTGTTATCAGATATATTCATTTATATTCTCTCCTTCCCCAAAACCCACTAAAATGACAGAAGGGGAAGAAAAAGGCAAAACCTAGAAGGGCAAATAGAAGAGAAGAGAAGAGAGAACAAAAGATGAGAGATGTCAACAAATTGTCAGAAAAGGAAAAGTTCATGGAATAAAGAAGCAAAGCCGCAAGTGCCCGTAGAAGGGAAAGCCACTGTAAAAGAAACCAGTTCTCACCACAGAACTCTACAAGATTTCAGGAATTGGAGGACAGGTTAACTCGGAATTCTGGGTTTTTAGGGTCTATTATTTTGGGGAGAGGATCTTCATTTGTACGTAAGATAGAGATGTTTTTCTTGCTTGGACATTCAAGTATATGTAGAAGAATGTGTATGAATGCTGAGTAGCCAATAGATGGATGGTGTCAGTTATTAAGCTATTGCCTCTTCACTTGGTGATACTGGGGCTGGGACACCACAAACCACATTTCTGTTTCTCCAGCTAAGTGTTTCTTGGGTTCTGCCAACAGGAAGTGCTAGAGGGAGATTGGAAGGCTGGAGTAGGAAGAAACAACTCTCCTTCCTGTTTTCTTCCTGCTCCTGACAGCATCAGCCTAACACTCCTTCGCGCTATCAGCAGCATTCTTTCCAGTAGCATTTTGTCCCAACACTTGTAGAAGCAGCCTATCATGCCCCCTAAATAGCGTCAACACCTGCCAGCTAGAAGCTGCCTTCCAAGAGGCCTGGGTCACAGTTTTGGGTCACCGCCCCACGAATCCCTTCCTCTAAGCTGCTAAATTTTAATGGTTCCAACCTCTGCCCTTTGCTCCCCAGCCCGAGGACTCGTAGTTTATCCTTGCAATTGCTACCTCTGTGGTATCTTAGTATTCTTTTTTTAACTTTTTAAAATCTAATCGACATCCTTTATATTAAATTCTCTCTAATGTATTATAATATATTTTTTGTGGTAATGACAGAGTAGTTTCTATTAGACCAATCTTCCTATAAATAACAGCTAGCAACTCTAGACAACATATAAAATGCCAATTATTTGAAGGTATAGGAGACTGACCAAAAGCAGGCA